GAGTCAAGGTTTGGATGGTGCAGACAATTATGCAGAGGTGCAACACAATGTTCAGGTGGAAGATGAAACTGGGGTGGAAGATAATGAAACTGTCGAAGATAAAGATGAAGCTGAGGTTGTAGACAGTGAAGAAGATGATGGAGAATTTGTTGATAGTGATTACGAGTTCAGTGAAGAAGAATTTGGGTTTAAGACAGTTGAAGTACCTGTTCATGAAGGGGCAAAGGACAAAGGAGGCGATAGCAATAGGAGGGCTGGTTTTGAAGCTCCTGGAGAGGTGTCATCAGATGGTGAGCACACCTCAGATTTTGATACTGAAAGTGAGGGTGATGGGGATGATATGGAAGGGGATAATGAAGGGACAAGTAAGGTGAGAAGGAAAAAAAAACTGCCTCGGTTTAAGCAGTATAGAAGGGAGGTGGACTTAAAGAATCCTGAGTTTCGGCTTGGGATGCAATTTGAAAACAGACAGGTTCTTAAGGAGGCACTCAGGGAATATTCCATTATTCATGGAAGGAAACTGTTCTTTGAAAAAAATGACAAGACGAGAGTAAAGGCAATTTGCAACGGAGGATTAAAATATCCATTTGTGGTTTATGCTTCACAGATTGGAAAGAATGTGCAAACATTTGTAATTAAGAAGTTGAGCTTAGAACACACATGTGGGAGGGTGGAGAAACTGAAGTTTGCTAATCCCAAATGGATTTGTGACAGATTTTCTAGCAAGATTAAGAGAAACACATATTGGAATCTCAAAGCTTTTCAAGGAGAAGTTTTGGAGTCCTATCATGTGAGGGTGTCCAAAACTCAAGTGTATAGGGCAAAGAAATTGGCTAAAGCCCAAATTGAAGGAAACTACATACAGCAATATGCACGGTTGTAGGACTATGCAGAGCAGTTGAAGAAAACCAACAAAGGTAGTACAGTGAAAATTAAGTGTGATATGGTTGGGGGTGAAGCAATATTTCAAAGGATTTATGTGTGTTTGGCTGCTTGTAAAAGAGGGTTTTTAGAAGGGTGCAGGCCTGTAATTGGGGTTGATGCTTGCCATTTGAAAGGTCCTTATCCTGGGCAAATATTGACTGCTGTAGGAGTTAATGGTAATAATGGTCTTTTCCCAATTGCATATGCTGTGGCTGAGATTGAAAACAAGGACTCTTGGATTTGGTTTCTGTCTTTGTTGATTGAAGATTTAGGTATTAGAAATGGTTTATCCTGGGCTTTCATAAGTGATAAGCAAAAGGGGCTCATACCTGCCATTGCACATGTACTACCAACTGCAGAGCATAGGATGTGCGTCCGGCACTTGTACAATAATTTCAGAGCAACACATCTTGGTCTCACTCTTAAACACATGTTGTGGGCAGCTGCAAGAGCCACTACTATTCCTTGGTGGGAAGCAGAAATGGACAAGATGAAGGAAGAGGACTCGGAAGCTTGGAAATGGTTGGTGCAGAGACCACCCAATAATTGGACCAGATCTCATTTTCATACAAGGTATAAGTGTGATCTTCTACTGAACAACCTTTGTGAGAGCTTTAATGCAGCTATAATTGATGCCAGAGATAATTCCATTTAAACATGTTTGGAGAGTATTCGAATGTATGTGATGCTTAGGATGGCTAATTGAAGGGCTGCTTGTGGTAAATGGAAACACCCTGTTGGCCCAAGGATATTCAAAATAATTGAGAAGAACAAGATGGGAGCTTCTCAATGCATTCCTAGATTGGCTGGGGAGAAAATGTATCAAGTCAGTCACATGTATGGTGGGGAGTTTGTTGTAGATCTTGCAGCAAT